GAGTTATGAGCCCCCAATAAAATTACTTTAAAAATAATAATTTTCAATTCATTGAATCTTCAGCATTGAGGTCTTTATGGTCATAAAATACTTCCAGTTCTTTAAAACTATGCTCATGGATTCTAGATATAACATTAAGATTAAATTATTAAAGAGGAGAATATACATAGAATAAAACAAATCGCTGCATCTAGCAATTATTCTAAATAATTCTTTTTAGGGTAGTAATAAAATCATCAGAATACACAACCAAAGTGGTCTACCACTAAACCCACTGCTATCCATTCTGATTCATAGTGACCCGACAAGAGAGTAGAATTGCTCCCAATGGTTTCTGAGACAGCAAATTGTTACTCTAGTAGACAGCTTCATCTTTTCACAAGCAGCACCGGATGAGTTTGAACAGCGGCCTTGTGGTTAGTTGCCCAATGCTTTACCCACAGCCCAACCAGGGATCAAGTGGTCCACAGGCAGAGCAAAACTAGAAATTATTCTTTTAGTTTATTAAACATAATACCCTGATTAAAGTGAAATATAAAAAGAGAAACTTTGTGCTATAGTTTTCTCATTAAGATATATGACACTGAACTCTACCTTGAAAACCATGTTTGAAATAACTCAGCAACATCTGTATTATTCAACAGCCTATTTCCATTAAACTCAATCATGGAGGCTAAGTAAGACAAAATTACAGGTATGTGTTTTGCAATGCTTCCAGCATCACAGCACCACATAAACCACCACCATACAATAAATTAACAGACAAGTGGTGGATGCTGGAAGCTCTGTCACTGGTATTTTAAATACCAGCAGTCACCCAAATGCAAACAGGTTTCCGTGGAGCTTCCAGACTGAAAACACTGAAGAAGGAATTTGCTGTCCACTTCGGAGGAATTAGCCACAGAAAACATAATGCATTACATGGAAACCTTGTCAGAAGGCCTAATGAACAGAAGCAGAACCTTGTCTGCAATGGTGCCATAAGATGAGCCCATCTGTTTAGAAGGATTAAAAGCTGACTGAGGAAGAGCTACCTTCTCCAAAGTCAAGTCAGCCAGAATGACATGAATGGAGAATAAAACTTCCTGGACCTGAATTTACTGATGGGGCATAAAAGAAGACAAGAAACAGCTGCAAAAAATCTAATAATCATAACTTGGAATGTACCAAATATTAATCTAGAAAACTGGAAGTTGTCAAAACTTAAATGGAACAAGGAGCTGAAATAGGCTAATTTGTCATTTTGAATGAGAAAAATCATACATGGTTTACTATTCTGGGTTTGACACAATCAACAGGAATGGTGTTGGATTAATCATCAAAAAGGACATCTTAAGATCTACCTGGAAGTACAGGAGTGACTGTGATAGGATTATATCTATCCTTCTTCAAAAAGAGTCATCAATACAACTTTTATTCAAATGTATGAACCAACTACAAAAGCTAGTGATGAAAGACTGGAGAATTCTATCAACGTCTTCAGTCTAAAACTAACCAAACATGCAGTCAAGATGCATTTATAATTACTGGTGATTGGAATGCAAAAGTTAGACACAGGAAATGTGGTTGGAAAGTATGGCTTTGTTGGAATTATGATTTAAAGTTGGAGATTATAATGAATTTTTCAAGACCAATGACTTGTTTATCACTAATACCTTTTTTCAACAATACAAATAGTGGTTGTGTGTGTGTGTGTGTGTGTGTGTGTGTGTGTGTGGATTTCTCCAGCTGGAATACAGAGAAATCAAATGGACTGCATCTGTGGAAAAAGATGATGGAAAAGTCCAGTAACAGCAGCTAAAATCAGGCCAGGAGCTGACTGTAGAACCGACCATCAATCTCTCATATGTAAGTTCAGGATAAAGCTTAAGAAAATGAAAACAAATCCATGAGAGCCGAAATACAACCTTGAGTCTATCCTACCTGAATTTTGAGAACCTCACAAGAACAGTTTTTATGCAATAAACACTAATGACAGAAGACCTTATAAATAAGCTGTGAGAGGACATCAAGATCATTCATGAAGAAAGCAACAACAAAAAATTAAAAAGAACAAAATGGATGTCAGAAGAAACTGAAACTTGCTCTTAATTGTAGAAAGCTAAGGCATGATGAAGAAATGATGAGTCAATTACTTGAATAGAAAATTTCAAAGGGCAGCTCGAGAAGACAATGTCAAATACTATAATGAAATATACACAGCACCAGTTAGAAAACCAAAAAGAGCTTTCTCTGCTTCGACTCCCTGCCAGACCTCTCTGTTGACAAGCCACACGGAGACACACTGATGGCAGCGAGAGCCTTGGAGAGCTGGAGGAGCCACATGGAGACCCCTGTCAGCGCTGAGATGCTTTCACCACCACTGGATCCACAAAACTTTCCACCCACTGGCCTGTGATTTTACTGCGTTTGGCGCCATCACATGGCTGCGTGAGTCTGAGTAGGAATTTATGGACTAGTATTGACATATGGGGTAATATTGTACTTAAGGATTTGCTTTGGGCTGGGATGTTTCCTTAATGTACAATTGTTTTGATATAAAGTTCTCTCTTACACACACACACACACACACACACACACACACTCACACACACCCAAAAGAAAACCAAAAAGGAAAAAGACATTCATCATACCCTAACCTGAGATATCTACAAAAGAAAGTCAAGCCTAGAGATGCAATATTGAAAGATTCTATGAACAAACTAAAGGAACCCTGGTGGCATAGTGGTTACTCATGTGGCTGCTAACCACAAAGTTCACTGTTTGAAACCACCAGCCGCTCCTCAGGAAAAACTGAGACGTTCTACTTCCATGAAGGGTTACCGTCTCAGAGACCCACAGACAGTTTTCCCCTTCTAGGCATCAACTTCCTGGCCGTGAGTTTGGTTTTTGGCTTACAGACAAAATATTGAATGACAAAGGAAACATCAAAAGATGTAAAGAACATACAGTCACTGTACCAAAAAGAACTGGTCAACATTTTACCACTTCAGGAGGAAGCATATGAGCAAGAACCAATGGTGCCCAAGAAAGAAATTCAAGCTACACTGAAAACATCAATCAAAAACAAGGCTCGAGGAACTGATGCGATACTAACTGAAATATTTCAGCCAGCTGATGAAGCACTGGAACCACTCACTCAACTATGCCAGGAATATTTGGAAGACAGCAATTTGGCCAACTGACTATAAGAGACCCATATTTGTACCCATTCCAAATAAAGATGACTCAATAGAATGCTCAACTTATACAATAATATCGTTAATATCATATGCAAATAAAATTTTGCTGAAGATCAGCCAACACTGGTTGCAGCAGTACACTGACAGGGAGTTGCAAGAGGTTCAGGCCAGATTCTGGCGAGGTTGAAGAATAAAGAATATTATAATGTTATAATTATAATATAATGTTAGATGCATCTTGACTCAAAGCATCGAATAAAAGATGTTAACTTGTGTTTTATTCACTATGCAAAGACATTGGACTGATGGATCACAATAAATTATTAATAATCTTGAGAAGAATTGGAATTCCATAACACTACATTGTGCTCATGCAGAACTTGTACATGGATCAAGAGACAGTTTTAACAACAGAACAAGGGTGCAAATAGTGCATGGTTTAAAATAATTAACGGTGTGAGTCAGGGTATCCTATCATCATACTTATTCAATGTATATGCTGAGCAAATAATCAGAGAAGTTGGCTTATATGAAGAATAATGTGTCCTCAGGATTAAAGGAAGGCTTATTAACAACCTGTAGGATGCAGATGGGCACAACTTTATTAGCTCAAAGTGAGGAGGACTTGAAGCACTTGCTGATAAAGATCAAGGTTTTCAGCCTTCAGTATGGATTATAACTCAATATAAAAGATCAAAATCCCGACAACTGGACCAATAGTTAACATCATAATAAATTGGACCCACAATCAATGCTATGTCAGTTAAGAGATTAAACAAAGTTATACATTCGGTAAATCTGCTGCCCAATGCCTCCTTAAATGTTGAAAAGCAAGGATATTACTTTGACAACTACAATGTGCCTGAACCAAGTCATGGTATTCTCCATTGCTTCATATGCATGTGAGAGTGGACACTGAATAAGGAAGACGCAAGAAGAATCGATACATCTGAATTATGTCCAAAAGGACAAACAAATCTGTCCCAGAGAAGTACAGCCAGAATGTGCCTACAGGGCAGTGATGGGAAGGCTTCATCTCACATGCTTGGGACATGTTGTCAGTAGAGATCAGTCCCTGGAGAAGGACATCATGCTTGGTAGAGGGGCAGTGAAAAAGAGAAAGACCCTCAACAAGATGGATTGGCACAAGCGCTGCAACAACTGGCTTCAACATAAGAACAATGGCGAGCAATGTGCATGTCTGGGCAGTGCTTCATTCTGTTGTTCACAGGGTCGCTGCGAGTTGGAACCGACTTGATGGCATCTAGCAACAAGAACTTTTCATAATGACTACAAGATTTTCTGTGAAACAGAGTGTTGTGCAATTTGAATCTTTTCTGAACACCCTATTATACATATGCAGTGCCCATATAATCAGTAGTTAAACCCTCATAAATCTTATTATATTAAAACCTTATGATGGGAGTTTGGGGGAAATGGGGAGCTAGTAATAATGATTATAAAGAAGAAGAAAACTGACTTATTGTGATAATGATTACACAACCCTTCAATAAGGTTTAAGCACTGAATTGTATGCTATGTGAATTATGTCAATAAAACTGTTAAAAAAATGTTTAACCTTATGGGGGTCCACCAGGGAGCCTAGTGGTATAGTAGGTTATGTGTTGGGCTGCTAACAGAGAGGCCAGCATCTGACTCCACCAACCCCTCAGTGAGAGAGAGATGAAGCTATGTATGGGGTCCTGTAAAACTGTGCAGCCTTAAAAACCCTAAACTTGGGGGGGGGGCAGTCCTGCTTTCTCCTGTAGGGTTGCTTTGAGTCAGTATGTACTCGGTGGCAATGGAGCCCAGTAGACAAAAGTCAAGAGCTGTATCCACTGGATACTGGCCAGCTTTTCCAGGCATGCAATTGGACTGGGTGGGGGCTGAGCAGTTGGATTAGGACCGGGTGCAGGGAAAGGGCGGCAAAAAAATGGAAGGCTGCATATAAAGGTAACCACGGGACCATGTGTGCAGGTATGAACATACTAATTACATGCAGGTGCAGCCACTGCACAAACATAGGAGGGGGCAAGAGTCAAGCAGTGAAAAGCAGCATGGCTACTGGGCAGGTGAGTGAATCAAGAGGAGAGGATGAAGGTGGCTCGCACAGGGATTGGAAGGTGCGCTGGAGTCCCACTGCTCTGACAACCTGGGGGTTTGGGGTCTTTAAAACCATTCGGAGAAAATAATAAACAAAAGGAGAACTGTTTTCCCTTTTTAAAAAATTCTTGAGTCCACAGATACATATTCTGTCAAGAATTGCCAAACAGGCATTAAACAACGCATATCTATAGTATGAACCAGGGCAAATGATCCATCTCCTAGCACTCTAACAATAAACAAGCCTTTACATTAGTCTTAGGACTATCCTGGTCTCACACCACAGTTATTTAGAATTAATAAAACCTGAGGTCACTTCATGCAACATGTCAAGTACAATGCACATAGCTATTTCTCATTCTTTTAACTCCAAATGTATTATAAGTTACACTACAGATATTATTTTCTCCTCTGTGTTTTATACACCTCTGTGTTCTGATCATCTTGTTTTAATACTACCATGTTCCAGAAGAAGGCACATTAAAAATGAATTAAACATCTACAGACTACAATGCTACCCTAAAAAACATGTCAAAACTTTTCTCTTTAGAAAAATCCAAAGCCCACTAAAATCAGAAAGCAAAGAATGAGTATTTATATGACAATTCATTGAAGCTATCTACAAACCTATGCAGTAAGTTTCAAGTTACTTCCAACTCCCAGCCATCAAATCAATTCTGACTCACAGCGACCCAGCAAGGCACAGTCGACATGCCTGGAGGTTTACTAGACTGCAACTTTTCCTGGGAGTAGAAAGCCTCATCTTTCTTCCAGGTCATTTTGTACCACTGACCTTGCTAAGTTAGCAGCCCAACGCATAACTCACTATTCTCAAGCTACTTGGGAAGAATCAAATTTCAAAACAACAAAAGTTTGAATTCGGGGAAAGATACCTGAGAAAAATAACTTACAGTCTTTCCAGATCCTGTTTGGGCACAAGCCATCAAATCTCGTCCTGCTAGTACAATAGGAATACTGTATTTTTGCACTGGAGTAAGTTTTGTATAACCAGCTTTAGCAATATTGTTATTCAGTGTCTGACAAAGATTAGCTTCTTCAAAAGTCTAAAAAGAAAACAAAGGCAAGAGGTAGTGACTTAGTCCACAAATGTTTCATTTAAATGCATTTGCATTTTTATTAGTTCCACTTTATGTTAGTTACTTTACAAGATGCCCCCACTCAAAAGCAAATTCCCAGAGATCATCTATAAAACATGAATAACTGATAAACAGTGGCTCACTGTAGGTACAAGTATCAGTAGAAAACATAGGGATTCCCTTGTAAAATCACTTCCCTAAAATATATTTTCCATATAGTTAAGGGGCAAACATTTTAAGTCCCTAAGAAAGGGATGCCTTTTAGTAAATTTAAATAAAGTTCTCATTCTGGTTTGGGAAGGTAGAGATGAAATAGCAATTCTGACATAGCAATGAATTCTATGGTAAATTCAGACATGATTCTTAACTTTTGACCTAATATACTACATACTAATGGCTAAATACTTGTGTTATTTAATAGCAGCTAAGAGAAACATACCATATATTTAAAAAACAAAGTTTGCCACACAGTCAACATATAAAGAATTTTTACACTGACCAGAATTGCTGGTGGCGCATCATGTCCAGAGACTTCCACAAGAATAGTATCATATTTGTCAAAGTTGATGCCTGTCTGATAATGTGCGAAAATGGAGTCCTCATCCTCAGGTGGTGGAGGTGGTATGTAAGTCACTTTGGGCCCTTGGAATTTAAAGAGAAAACAGAGTTTATATTACAAAGAGAAGTAAAGTAAAGGGGAAAAATAGAATGAAGCATCACATTTGAAATACTTGGTAACTTTCCAATACTTACATTGAAGGTTTTCACTATTCAAATAAAAAATAGATTTCTCTGGATTTAAATACTTTCCCTTATTACAATATACATTCATGTACATCAAACAAGTGTTACTATACCTTGAGGGTCAGTACTTTCTCCTTCAACTTCTGATTTCCAAGAATCTTAAAAGAAATTAAAAAAAACAAAAAGGATATTTTTAAAATGCAAGGGTAAGAAAATTCTCCTTATAAAAATCAAGTATTTATCAGGGCTTAAACTTACTCTTTGCTGTGCCTGTTATTACTTCTTCATTTAAACCTTTGTAACCACCTATTACAGAAATACATGGTGACAATCAGTCAAAATATAAAGCTGTGCATACCTTGGTTTTCGTTACTTAACTATACAGAGGGCAAGTTCTGAAACCTCTCCTTTCAAATAATACTTGTAAAACTTCAAAGTCCAGCTAATATAAACTTTACATTTGAGGTTTCTCTAGCATTCCCACAAGTCCCTGAGTGGTTGGGTCAATGCATTGATTGCTAACCCTGAAGCAGCTCCAGATAAAGGCCTGGTGATCTACTTCTGAGAAGAAGCCACTGACTACCCTATGAGAAATGTTCCACTCTGACAATCGAGAGGTTGCCATGAGCCACACAGCATGGCTACATGTGATATCACTGAAATCCTTCTTCATATAAAACGTGAGCATTTTAATTTCTATATAACATTTAAGTATATATGATATAACCTTGATAAACATTTTCAGAATATACAATCACGTATATACACATATATATGTATAAATATAATACTATACCTTACCTCATGATAAAGTATTCTTGTTTTAATATAAGAATCTGTACATTTGGGTATATATCAATCTTTAACATAGTATCTTATTTATGGCTATATTATTTATTGTTATTTATTGGTGAATTTTGTATAATTTACTTTTATTATAAATGAAACTTGAATTAACATCCTTATACATCATTATATTAAATTACTCTACAAAAATAAGTAACTAAGAACTCACCTCGTCCACTGCCATTGCCACTTCTACTTTGATAAGTGTCACCATTACCTGGAAGGCAATAATTTTCAGAATACAAAGACCATCCATGAGAACATAAGTCACATAGCTATTCCTACTCAATCTCTGCATTATGAAGGACTCCTACTTTCACAGCCTCACCATCTCTGAATTTAAATCGAAATATTTCCTTCATTTATACATTTTTTCAAGAACAATTGTGTTCGCCATGATTCATTTTCTCCTCAAATCTCTTTTTCCTATCTCAAAATCCTTTCTTTGAAACCTTCATTTACTTCCTCCAATTAGAAATATACTTCACATCCCAATTTAACAGTGAATAACACAGAATTTACAATGTACTAAAATTTTGTAGGGGAGGCAAATTTTATGCACATTTCTGTCTACATATCTAAAAATAGATAAAATCATGAGTTTAACTAATGTATTTAAGCATATGCTAATTTTACTATTTCTTGGGCTAAAAGCATATGTAATGATTAATATTCAGTAACAACTCTATTTCTCACCTGCACCACTTAATGCTGGTCTTTTAGAACCAAAAGGGCCACCAGTGCGTTGTGTCCCTTCATCTTGTTCAAATTCATTACCTAGATTTGTAGATAATAAAATTGGATTATGTTGTTTTTATGAAGTTTTAAAATCATTCAATACAATGAAATATTATAGTACTAGAAGTAAACATGTGGGATAAATTAAAAATTAGGTTGAAATTTAGCAAGAATACAAATAAGCACCTCTGCAAGCATCACAAAAAAATTATTTTAGTTACAAATTACTTCCTTCATAATTTTTATTTTATTAAAATTTTTTATCAAAATGCACTTTACAAAAGTAGTTTGGCATATGTTACACCAAAATATAATATAAGGGCAGGTTAAATTATCTCCAAGGAGAATTATTACTGCCCCTGAAACTTGACATTGTGTCATCTCATTACTTATTCTCCATAATAGCTTGGTTCTGACTAAAGTCAAATAGATCTTACCAGTCCTATTCAGCAACCATTTAGATTGTTGTACTTTTTTAACTGAAAAATTCACTCATCTGAAATTTATTATTTTAATTTTGAAAACCACTAATTTGATCTCTAAGAGAGATTCCAGACTTAACTTCTGAAGACAGTATCTTACCCCCAACGTGTGATGACTGAAGGAAATGAAAGTGGAAGGCACAATGGTAGAAGACATATTTTGGGAAGCAGAGTCATGAATAAGTCCATCGACTTTTAAGGTCAGGCATCACTATGAGCGTCTAAAACTCTTACTAAGCACTATGTAATATTAAAGAACAAAACTTCTCAAACTTTTCACATATTCCAACTTAACTGATATGCAATTACATATGTATAAAAAAACACTGTAAAGTGGGTTAATTATTATATGTCAAGTACTGTGCTAGACTCTTCTCATGTAAATCTAGACTAACAACCCTCTGTGATAGGTATAAGATTTTATAATTTCTTCTAACAAAAGAAGCACACTATTTGCAAATCATTACTAACTTGAACTTCCTAGGCCAAATCCTCCACGGCAACCTCGGAAACTACCTCTCCCACCTCTTCTGGGTGAACATGAGTCACTTCCATCTTGATATCCTAAGACATAGAAACACACGTTAAGGATAAAAGCAAAATGACGGCAAAAAAATTGGGGAACGTGGTGAACAAATTTAAGCCTTGCATAAGTCACTAACTTTAAATAAACAATTTATTTTAAATCAGTAACTACTTACTAATGAAAAAAAAGTTGCATTTTACCTACAAATAGTCAATTTTAGTAAACTAACTAGAACAACAATGGCAAAAAAAAACTAACTGTGGCTTTAGGAATCAAAACTAAATATGACTAAAAGGAAAAGTGTCACATGAATAAAACACTAAACATTTCCACAACTACAATACTACCTGCACTTGGAATGTACTAAGTATGAATCTAGGAAAATTGGAAGTCATAAAAAATGAGCTGGGACACATAAAGATTATCCTGGGCATCAATACGCTGAAATAGGATGATCTATTAACGCGTGAGAGGACATCAAGAACATCATTCAGGAAGAAAGCAAAAGGTCATTCAAAAGACAGGTAATAAAGAAAAAATTAAAGTGAATGTCAGAAGAGAATCTGAAACTTGCTCTTAATTATAGAGTAAAGCGCATGGAGGAAATGATGAAAATCAAAGAGCTGAATAGAAAATTTCAAAATCAATTTAATTAAAAAAAAATTTTAGAGGATCTGATACCAAGGGCTCAACAGAAAGTAAATGTCTAGAAAAGAACGATGGCAAAATATGTACAAGCATGCCTGATAAAATTGATGTATGGACTGTAATATGAGTTATAAAGAGTCCCCAATAAAATTCTTTTAATAAATAATTTAAAAAAGAAAATTCCAAAGGGCAGCTGTAGCAAAGTAAAATATTATAATTAAATATACAAAGATTCTAGAATTAGAAAAAGAACATGCTCAGCATATCTGAATCTGAAAAAACTAAAGAAAAACTTCAAGCCTCGAGTGGTAATATTGAAAGAATCTGTCAAAATACAGAATGATGCAGGAAGCATGAAAAGAAAATGCAAAGAATACAGAGGAACTGTCCCAGAAAGAACTGGTCAACATTCCACCATTTCAGGAGGTAGCATGTGTACAAGAACTAATGTTGCTAAAGGAAGAAACCCAAGCTATGAAATTATTAGCCAACAACAAGGCATAGCACATTCAAAACAACAGTGCTCTAGATCCTAATTTGGGGAGTAGTCTCTGGGGTCTGAAAAGCTTGTGAGTCACCTAAGCTTGTGGTCTCTCCCCATCCACAGGAAAGAAGAGTGATGAAAACCAAAAAATATATAGAAACAATTGGTCCAATTACTCTGCAAGACCCAAAGAGCAGAACTAGACAGTGCCCAGCTACCATTACCAACTGCCCTGAAAAGGATATTAGAAGGTCCTAGGTAGACTGGGAGAAGAATGTGGAGCACATAGAGCAACTCATGAACAAGGAGGTCTACAAAGCCTGCCTCAATCAGACACCACCACCTGCCACCTGACCCAGCCCACGTATGTGCTAGAGGACAACCAAAACCAAACCCAAAAAACACATTGTTGAGAATGAGGGGAGTCGGAGCAGAAACCCCAAACCTATCACAAAAGGGTCGCAAGGAAGGGATGAGTCAACCAGGGTACAGTATAGCACTGATGAAACACAATATTCCTCTGGTTCTTTGAGGCTTCCTCACCCTCCACTATCATGACCCCAGTCCTGCCTTTCAGTTCTGGCTAGACCAAAGCATATACACTGGTACAGATAAGAGCTCATGAATCCAGGTCAGATATAACACCTCAGGAATAGAAATGGGAGTAGCGATAGCAGGAAGGTAGGGGGAAGGTGGGAGGAAGAAGGGAAGAAGGGGGAACTGATCTCAATGATCGATACATAACCCCCCCCTGGGGGGGGGATGAACAACAGAAACCATAGGGGAAGGGAGACAGCAGTGGTGTAAGATATGAAAACAATAATAACATAAATTATCAAGGGTCATGAAGGTGGGGGTGTAAGAGGAACTGATATCAAGGGCTTCAATAGAAAGTAGATGTTTAGAAAATGATGGCAACATATGTACAAATATGCTTGATACAATTGATGTATGGAATGTTATAAGAGCTGTAAACGCCCTCAATAAAATGATATTTTTTAAAAAAGAATGTGGAACAGAACTCAAAATCATAAAAGAGAGGCTTATTTGGATAGAAATTTCTAGGACACCCCCCCCCAATACTATGACTCTTAGCTATCTTCAGGTCTAGAGCTAAACTTATCCTCATGTTAGAATAAGCAACCGTTTAAAATAAAAGGGCAGCATTTACCCAAGGACAAAGTTCAGAAGGCGGAATGGACAAAAAACCCAGACAGGAAGTAAGATAAATGATGGAAATAAATCACTTATATATGAGATAGACTCAAAATACAACTATATTGTATTCTGTCTCATTAACACAACTGTCACTAGTCCTGCCTTGTTAACATCAGAGATTTACAACACAGAATAACCATATCACAGCACAAAATAGATGGTAATTACATAACACTGAGAATTATGGCCTAGTTGACAAAAATTTGGGGGGGGGGATCGCAATTTAATTTTTAACACCTTATCACCCCAACTTCAGTAGAGTCAGGATTAGCAGACCATGACTGAGTACTGCTACACTTGAATAAAAAGCCATTTACAAATTTCCTCCACACGAAATCTCCAATGATGCCATTCAGAGAATGATATCTCAGTTCATCTACTGTAATGATCCAAATCTACACAGTCCTCATCTGTACATTCTGGTGGGAAAAGATCTAGTAGTGTCATTAAAGAGGAGGAGCACCACCGAAAGAATAGACTCAAGTAAGAACGACAAAAAACATACTGACCAAGTATTGTCCTCCAATCATTTTTACCACCAGAATTTTTCTTTCATCTATTCAAAAATTTGTTTTATCAGTTTAGTATGTCTTAAACAAAAACTGTTCCAAAATCTGTGGTCCTTACCACCTCTCCTGGAAAAGCCTCTGTCCCGTGTTTGATTATCTTCATTGCCATTAGACTCTTAAATAAAAACGTAACATGTGAACAGCATCTAAATAACTAACTTAAAAGATGCGATATCTAAGTAAGACCACACTCAGAATATAATTAGTAAGTAAATAAGCATATTCATTCGGTGAAAATACAATTTAATTTTTAAAATAACTTTTACAATAAAAATACTTAGTCAATTTCATATACATATCTTCTAATGTATCTGAATATTAAATATAAAAAATACTAAGTGTAAAAATTGATAACCCACTATTTTTACCAACATAAACGTGGTGCAAGTCAAGAAGTAAGCATTTCATAAACTGGTACTTTCTTAAATATATTTAAACTTTTCCCCATTCACATTATATTACCAGAGTTCTTAAACAGTGGTATGAAGATCTTCACAACGAAGTATTTGGAGCTGGTTAAAAATATATTTTTGGCCCCATCCCACGGATGTTTATTCTGAAAGCTGGAGCTGGAGCCAATCAGTCCAGTTTAATGCCCTAGTGAAAACTTGCATTTCTACACTAGAAACATTGAAAGAGAAATCTTGTTAAAATGCAGAATGGAAGGACAAATTCTCAGCAAGGGCTGAAATTGAATGAACCAGTTCAGAACCCTGTCTGAAAGTGGAAAGTGATAGCAAGACAGAGGGCTTTCAATAACTTAAAAAATTGTTATTAATTAATTTAATTCTTAGTCATACCTTTTAGCATTCCAGAAAATTTTAACAACTCTAATCATTTTTGGAAAACACAGAGATGGCTTTAAAAAAATTTTATACATGTCATAGTGTTTACTTTGAGAACTCTGGCAGCTTGGAGGCTTATTTAAATCCTGTATAAATGTCTTAGTCTGTTTAACATTCAATTTTGCTTTACAAAACACAAACACTGAAAATCAAGCTCCCACGTGAGCTGTTGCCAAGGTAAAACAAATAGTCTTGTCTTGATGTGTACGACAAAGAGCCACCTAACATTGTGGTGGTAACTTTCCTAGAAGCAGAATTGAATACTACAAAGAGAAATTGATCTCTCCTCATACCGTATATACTAGAATATAAGCCTAGTTTTTCCAGCACATTTTTTAATGTAGTTTTTGTGGTAAAATTAGGTGCCTTGGAAGATATTCGGGTCGGCCTATACTCAAATATATATGGTAATGGGAGGCATTTATCTTCTGGCAGTTCATGGTACTTTCTGCATTAATTCTTCTGGGGTCTTATTCACTGTCTAACCTTCTTCACGTGCATATTGTTGTCTATTGCTCCAGGTGTGACGATTTTCGTTTTCTTTACAGTGGTTCTCAACCTTCCTAATGCCGCAACCCTTTAATACAGGTTCCTCATGTTGTGGAACCATAAAATTATATTCGTTGCTACTTCACAACTGTAATTTTGCTATTGTTATGAATTGGGCGACCCCTGTGAAAGGGTCATTTAACCCCAAAGGGGTCGCGACCCACTGGTTGAGAACTACTGCTTTACAATGAACTGGGACCTCTGGTGAAGTAGCGCAAGGTTAACAGTTCAAGCCCAGCAGCTGCTCAGTAGGAGAAAGATAAGGTTGTCTGCTCCTGGAAAAATTTACAGCTTCAGAAACACCTAGTGGGCAGAGCTCTACTCTCTCATCCTCATTATGGGTTACAAGTGACTTGATGGTAGTAGGTTTCATATTGAGTTGTAATCCATACTGAAAGTTGTAGTCTTTGCCCTTCTCTGGTAAATGCTTCAAGTCCTCCTCATTTTTGGCATGCAAGGTTAAATTTTGCAGATTGTTAACGAGCATTCCTCGATCCTAATGCCGAGTTCTTCTTCATAGAGTCCAGCTTCTGGAATTATTTGCTCAGCATACAAGCTAATTAAATATGGTGAAAGAATACAAACCTAACACACATCTTTCCTGATTTTAAACCACACAGTATTCCTCTCTTTGGTTCAAATGACTGTCTCTTGGTCTATGTACAGGTTCTGCATGAGCACCATGAGGACAGGTTCTGGGATTCCCATTCTTCTTAATGTTATCCATAGTTTATGATTCATTCAATCTAAAGTCTTTGCACAATCAATAAAGCACAAGGAAGTATCTTTCTAGTCTTCTCCGTTTTCAGTCAAGATCCATCTGTTAGCAACAATACACTTCATGACACATCCTCTTCTGAATCCAGCTTGAATTTCTGGAAGTTCCCTGTGAGGTACTGCTACAACTAACATTGACTTATCTTCACCAACATTTTACTTTTATGTGATATTGTTGATAGTTTGATTATTTCCAAATTCTGTTATCTTTCTTTGGAATTCTTTATCATATGCAGTCTCTTGAAAGGGTAGAATGCTGACCAATTCTTTTTGGTATAGTGTCTCTATGCACCATTGAATATAGAAAGATGAGGCTTTCTACTCCCAGAAATAGTCTGAGAAATCCACAGGGGCAGTTCTGCCCTGTCCTATGGGGTCACTTTGCATCGGAATTGACTTAATGGCAGTGAAATAGCATCATTCAATATTCTGCCCACAGAATTCTTCAATAATGCAACTTGAGGCTTGTATTTTGGTGACATTACTCCATTATATTTTTATACTCTGTACTACCCTAATTAAGGCCTTAGTATTTTTCATTACAATGTCATTAATTTAAGCAATATTTTTGTGACTTTGTTCCACTGTCAATGTATTAAGACTTATTTTAGTCCAAATAAAGATCTGTGTCCCCAGGAGTATTCATATGCATGAGTGGAGTTTAAATTGTTGTCTTACCATTATTTCTACTCTTCATTTTGCTTAAGGTAGCATAGCACTCAAAAACTATACCTAACAGATTAACTAGGACAGAAGGCAACAGACCAAATTAGGATCTTGAATTGTGGATCAACAAATAGTACTATCCTTAATAAGATTCTAGCTATAAAAGTCTTTCATAAAACTGAAATTAAAATATAAAGGAATTGGATCCATTTCTCATTAGCATGTGTTTATGACATAAAATTTGAAAGTCACAGCAGAAATATTGAGCTTACCTCTCCAAAGACCAGTGCTATCACCTTCTTCAAACTTGCGATTTAAAAAACCTATACAAAACATAAAATGAAATTTGCAAATTGCTGCAAACCACAATTATTTTGCCTCAATGGTTTAAAACATAAAATCCTTCAAAACATAGGTCTTTTAAAAATAAGATAAACTGCTTATAAGTACACATACATAAATTTGGGGTGAAAACTCATATAAACTGTAATATAATTTTGGCCTTGTGTCAACTTATCAAATTCCATTCTCTTTATGTGTAAAAGCAACTTTCTTTTCAGTCAATTTTGTATTATTTCAAATGTAATACTCTACATACACTGGGAAATTAGGGTTGTAAGTCAATATGTGCACTATGTAATTTCTGTGCAAAAAATACTAAACTTTTGCACATTAATTCATAATCTTCTCATCTGCCACAGTATAACACAACTAAAATGTAATGTGGTAATATTTTTTCCTCTTTCAGTAACAAGAAAATCCATCCCTGTCAAATTCTTGTTTACCAAATTAAAATCCTCTCAAGTCCTGCCTTCAAATTTTTCATCAAATAAACACCTATGCCTATATATTTATGTCTAGAAAATGAAATGTACACACGTTCTGGTTTATTATAAAAAAACATGAACAAGAAAAAAACTAATATTTTGAATCAGTCAAGTTTTTACTGTAAAATATCATATAAACAAGAACTTACTTCTGTTTCCAAAGCGTTTTCCAACTCCAAAACCACCCATTGTGGGTGGATTCTCTCTTGTAGTAGACTCACCAGCATCTGAAACAATAAACTCTTTATCATATAAAATTAAGAGCATCATCAAACAACAAGAAATAAACCAATCTGGGAGAAAGGGCTTTTAAGGATGGTATAGAAACTAGCACTTTTTTCTCTTAAAGTTTACAGTTTATAAGATTATTATTACAACAGGATTACAGTTAAAAGTTAATCATGTTAGAGTTGCATAGGTTCGTTTGTATAGTAAGACCATTGGATACACGAAAGCCAAGATAGATAACTCTCAGAAACAGTAACAGGAGTAATGGTTCCCTGAGAGTTTAGGAAGAGAAGAGGTGGGAAATTGGGAGCTGATAGTGTTGATGACTGTATAACCACACTAGACGGGATCGAACAGAACTGTATGTGAATGGATATATTTCGTGTTAAGATATGGCATAAATAAATAGATAGATAGATAGATAGATAGATAGATAGATAGATAGATAGATAAATAAATGAATGAATAAGGGTTCCTGGGGGTTTAGGTGAGAGTAGGAGGGGATAAAGGTTAGCTGATACCAAGGAGTTCAAGAAGAAAATGTTTTGAAACCAGTTGTGGTAGCAATTGTACAATACTGCTTTAGGTGATGGAACGATGGAATATTATATCAGTCAGAGCTCCCAATAAAAGGATTTTTAAAAGGTATGGGGGTAATGAATACTACTCTTTTCCCTTTACCCATCTCTCCATAGTATTTCCCCATGCAAACTTTATCTTAAACTATTTAACTCTGAACACTACACATCTTAAACCATGTAATTATCCATACACCACATTCTGCAAACTTCCAATTCTTTGAACTTTTGTATATGCTGTTCCTTCAGCTTGTTAATTCATTGCTTTCCTATCTTCCTACTCACTCTTTCACTCCAACAGCCTTGTTCAAAGTCTTCCTTCAGCTCATCAGTCAGAATTAAATCTTTCCTTGAAATTCCAATAGTATACTATGAGTATCTCTTTTTTAAAAATCATTTTATTGGGGGCTCATATAACTCTTATCACCATACATACATACATCAATTGTGTAAAGCACATTTGTACATTCGTTACCCTCATCATTCTCAAAACATTTGCTCTCCACGTAAGCCCCTGGCATCAACTCCTCATTCTTTCCCCTCCCTCCCTGTTCCCCTCTCCCTCATGAACCTTATAATTTATAAATTATTATTTTGTCATATCTTACACAGTATCTCTTTACAACAACATTCTTTGTTTTCAAATAATAATGTGAAGAATCTTCAGGGCAAAGATGCTACAGCAAGAAGACTTCTTATTAAATAGGAGTGAGGGGAGCAACTGGAGCAGCAGAGACATACAATAACCGTGTACACTGTCACTGGAGACAACAAACACATTCCTTGGATACTGTTAAATTATATTAGCACTCTCTGTAAGATCCCAGCACAGAGGAGTTAAAGGGAGTTGTGAAGCGCAAAACTGTATGTTCAATTATGATGATTTCCACCAGGTAATGAATGGTATGAAACAAGCAGCTAAGGTTGTTTATTACTCTATCACAGCCTAGGAAGGATTGTCAGTGTTAGAGAGTCAACCTCTAAAGCACTCTAAACCTCCAATGACTCTCTTCCGATCACCGATCATCGTTGAGGGATGTGAACAGCCATTTTCAGAGAGCACTGTGAAATACATTATGGCAGATGCACTTAGGTCAAAATGTGTTTTATTATTTGATCATCTTCCTTTTGACCAATTTTAAAGCTGTTTCCGCATATAATTTTTAAAAAGTAAAGGGGACATACATGTGGATTAAGCCCCTGGTGAATCCCCTTTGACAAGGGACCAGAGATGTGAACAGCCTTGCTATCATGCAGAATGCAGTGGCATGTGGTTTATTGTAGATGCAGTTAGGTTAAAATTTAGCACTCTATCACTTAACCTCCCTTATGATCCATTTAAATTTAATCTAGTTTTTAATATTTCTACTTTATTTTCTATTAGGGTTTTATGTTTTACTTTGTTATTCTTGTTAGTTTTATTTGTTTAAGGATAAGTAAACCTATAGAGGCAGTAACTAGATTCATGGTTTCTTGGGGTATGACAAGTGAGGTTGGGGGAAATGTGGAGCTATTAGCAATGAGTACAAGAATGGAGAAAATGTTCTAAAACTGGTTGGTAAAGGATGTACAACTTTTCTTGATGTGACTGAACTATTGAATTATGTGATATGTAAACTCTATGCCAAGAAAACTGTTGAAAAAAAACATTTTACTAGATATTTAAGTTCTACTGAGGGAAAATTCAGAGATTAAAACAAATGAAAACATTATATGAATCATAAGGGAAGGGAGTTTTACTTATGAGCCCACAATTTTCCAATTATATAGTTATAAAATATTTTTTAAGTATAGACAAAATGTTTTCATATATTTAATGTGAAGTTATATCTAAAACATACAGAGATAACAGGTTGTAGTGGAGTCTATATCAGTGATAATTTTCTCAAGAAAAGCCTTGATACAACCAATGTTCAAAATTTAGAAATCTGCATCAAAATGTAGGATATAGATAAAATAGGGAAACATCTGTCAGGAGACATCTATGTCAATTGGCATATTATAGCCCACAAAAACAAACTCACTGCCATCAAGTCACAGCTGACTCAGAGTGACTTTGCAAGACAGGCAGAATTGCCCCTTTAGAGGCTCTGAGACTGTAACTCTTTACAGGAGAAGAAAGCTTCATCCCTCCAGTGGAGAGGCAGGTGGTTTCAAACTGTTGACCTTGTGGTTAGCAGCTCAAGGTGTATCCACTATGTACCACCAGGGCTCTCGATAGTCCGCAAAGACAATGACCTATATATATCCTATTGTGGTGAGTTTTAAAAGATAGAACAAGATATCTAAGATGTAACTATTGGCCTCCCCATCCAAAAGAAGGGGAATAAAATCAAAGACTCAAACAATTAGTCCAAAGAACTAATGAACTACATGAATTATAGCTAGCACTACCCAGTAATCAGAAGAATTAGATGGTACCCAGCTACTACTACTACTGACCTCTCTGATCAGTACCACATAAAGTCTTCAATAAAATTGGAGGGGGTGGGGGGAAGAGAACAAATTTCAAAATCATAAAAATAACCAAACTTCCTGATCTGAGATGGACTGGTGTGGTGAATCCCGAGACCGTCCTTTACACACCCTTTAAGCATGAAACTGAACCTACTCCTAGAGGATAACCTGCCAGCCTAACAACAGACAGGTCTATTAAGTAAACAGTAACTAACACTCAAGAAAAACAGACTCCCCGGAGCAATTATCCATTATGAGCTCAGAAGAGCAACAGTATGTGTTGGACAAAACACAGCTCACAAGGTATGGTGGGGCAAGAAAAATGAATACAGGAAACCCAAGTAAGAAAGGCACAGTGTTAAGAACGTTGAGGGGATAGTAACTAGTGTTGGGAAACAAAATGTATACAATTGTTAAATAGTAAATTAATTTTTTCTGTAAGTTTTCATCAAATAAGTTTTTTAAGTACCATACAACCTACCTAAAATGAGATTTTAATGTAAATATTAAATATTCTGAAACACTAAGGTATATTCTATTTCTAAAACTAGCAAGGAAAAAAAAAATCACAAAATCCAGATTCGAACTTAACAATTATATGATCCAAGTAATCGAAGTATCTTACTTAATGTTCAGGCTTAAATAAACAAATAAGCTATATGTATATTTGAAAACT